CAGGTGTGGCTTCAGTTGCTCATGTTGCAGGGGTTGGGGTTTTGCCTGTGGTTCCTGCTGTTGTTGCGGCAGCTGTTCTTGCCCATCCTGCTGCTGCTGTGATTTGGGCCGATGTCCTGATAGTTGGTTTTGTGCTTGTTGCCCTTGCAGCTCCGGCTCCTGTTCTAACTGTTGCAACCCCTGCTGGGCTTCCTCAGGGGTCTCACTGGCTTCCATCAGGGCTGAGATTGCTGGCTGTAGTGGGCTGCTCCTCTCCTGAGCCTCCTCTTCCTCCTGACTCTCACTCCCACCGCTGCCACCTGTAGTGGAAATGGCAGGAAGCCAGGAGAGAAAGATCTATAGGCAGCTGTCTGATCCAGACCCCCAGGACCTCTGCACGTACCCTGCCCCATGTACAGCTACCTAGACTACAGACCGAGCTCTCAGCAGGGACCCAAAGCACTGGATCAAGGACAATTGCAACATGGCAAAAACTGAAAATGCCCAGAGGTGTGGGGTTGACTTAGAAATGTTTCCGAATGACTGCTGGTCACGTCACTTTGGACCCCAGCTCCCTGGCCCCTCCTCTGGGCCATCCCCTACACAGGCTCCATGCTTAGAGCTTCGCAGTGACACCAGCATGGGTCCTCCCCAGCGCCATTCCCTGAGAAGTCCTTTGTGCCTGATCACTATCCAGTGGAAATCAGTGAACCAACCAGCCATTCTAAGCCAAAATCCTATGCTGCACTCTGACCTCAGTGAGGGTCACACCTCAAATAAATGAAACTTGCGCCTTCTCTGTAAAGAATAAAGAATTTCTGTGAAGCTGCCTGGAAGTGTCACCACAAATAGTTGCTAAAAGTCACCAAAGTGTCAGAGAGTACACAGGTTTCCAATGGGAAGTTCTTGGTTCAGAGGAGTTTACTCTGTTCCTAACTCTACCAGTTAGCAGCTGTGCAACCTGCTGCAGGCTCAGAGCCCTCCATGTCTGTAAAATAGCTTGACAGTACCCACTGCCAGCTTCATGAGTGAAGCAGGAAGGGCCCTGGCACATCCCCTAGAACCTGGTAGATGCCTGAAAAGTTCCTCTCCCTGTGTGTTAGGAATTAGTTTGCAAACTAACAAACAGTTTGGAAATGCCAAGGATACAACTGGCTCCGCCTGAAATAGCCTCAAGACAGTAAGTGTTTGAGATTGTTATTCTAAAATGGAAAGGACTAACTCACAGCCCCAAACCAACATGGTGACCAGGCAATTACTTCACCTCTGGGAACCTGAGCTTCCCCATCTGCCAAGGGAGACAAATCCTCTCCAGGGACATTGGGAGAACCAGAGGTTATAAAGGTACAGCCCCAGCATTGCGTAGGCGCACAGTAAGCCCTGGAAAGCAGGAGCCCTTCCGGTGCTGCGTTTCATCTCCATGACATCGCCACACAGGTTCTCATTTTGAGCGTTGCTACCAGGTTAGCAGGAACTCTGAAGAGGCTTTCTCCATTCCCAAGCCTGAGTTCAACACCTCTTCTTCCTACCACATCATATTTTCAATTTCGTAATGGAAAGCAGAGGTTTGATTTATAAAATTTTGCTTTCTGGCCACTTTTCCACTAGATTGATTTAAAGAACCCAAGGGATCTCTAGATGTAAATAATTTCCTGTTAGAAAACTATTCCTAAGAACGTTTGCTTGGGCTAATGGATCAGTGAATGCATTTTTCATACACGCACACCGGCTGGAAGCACGGCAGTGGTGAGTGAAGACAGCCATGGACACCTGTCCCACCAGCAGATCCAAGGTCTCATAGATGCCTTTCTCCTGCCACCCCTGGGAGCAGTGGGGCCACATCCTGCCTCTGTGGGAGTCCTCCGTGTTGGGGCGCATGGCCATTCCTGACTTCTTCCGGCAGCAATGTTATCATTTCTAACAACGATGTTTTAGTAAACATATAGTTTAAGTTTCATCTGATGTGCATACCTCCACAAGACGTTTGTGAGTTAAGTATTTAAGCCAGAAGAGTCCTCATTTAGTCCACACATCTTGTCTGACCCCTCCATTTCCCTGGGTCCTTTTCATGCTCTGTTCAACCCTGCACCAGCCCCTCACTCAACATATCCAAAGCACAGCGTGAAATCAGCTCCCAGAAATGCGACCACAATAGAAAGTTTGCCCAGAGTGGGTCCTAGAGGGAGAGGGAGTTCTGGAATGTTCTGCACGGTCACATTTGCCTCTGGGCAAAAGGGGAGAAAGGCGGATGGGAGCGGAAGTCAAGGAAAAGTAGACAAAGCCAGAGGCCACGGGGCAATGGCTGAGGCACGAGGGGCAGAAGGAGAGAGCCCCCAGTCCCTGAATTCAATCTGGGAACTTGAGTCTGGAGCCAAAGACAGGTGGGAGGAAGGCAGAGGCCACCTGACTGCTGGGGAAACATACCTATCTGGGGTCAGAGGCATGGGCTAGGAACATCCGCACTGCAGGGGAGCCCCTCCCCAGCCAGACCACAGCCTGCAGGGCTGCCTCACAACATCCTGTGCCGGTGTGAACAGCTGCAACCTGCCCTCCACACCTGAAAACTGCCAGGAGGGTGTCCTTCCAGGCAGCAAGCTGCCTGCCACACTTCAGGCCCCTCTCTCAGCCCCAGCAGGCCTGAGGCTGTGTCAAAGGATCCCCGCTGGGGGCCTGAGAACTATCTCCTGGTATTGGAGGTCAGAAGCCCCACCAGCCCCTCACCTGAGAGGGTGTCAGGCCCTGGGCCCCCATCTTCAAGACACCGAAGCTCCAGCACGAAGGTCTCGGTCGCCGGCCCCAGCTCCATCCTGACGGTCAGACCAAGATTCCAGGGAGCTGGCTGTGCTGCGAGGAAGGAAGGAAGCTGTTCAGGTGGGCAGGAGTGTTGAGCCCCCAGCCCAAGGCACTGACTGCCAGAGAACCCCCAAATCTGCCTCAGGTCCCTGGAGCAGGCAGCTCCACCCACCCCTGGAAAGGACAGGGCAGTCCACAGGGGGAAGAGTGAGGAGGGAGGGCAGCCCCCAGGCCCACTCCCCAGCAGAGGCGGTCCTTCCTGTCCTGACTTTTTGCAGAGCCCCCAGTCAGCCCCATGTCTAGGCCAGCCCTGCAGCGGCTCCTCACTGAGGCGACTGTGGGAAATCAGACCGCCACTAGGATGGGGAGCTGAGTCCCAGAAGGGACATCTGGGAAGTTTGCAGAAAAGAGAGACTTGTCCATCTCATGCTCCCCGCCCATTCAAAGAACTGACAAGTCTGTTCACTCCCTGGTCTCCTGCCTCCCAGACTCAGGGCTCACCCAGCCTTCCCAGGCCACATGTGTCGAGCTGGCAGCTCAGCTCGGTGGGGAGGCAGGCTTCCAGAGCCCTACAACCATGGAAATGACATGGGGCCCTTCTGGCCCTGAGGTCTGGAGCGTTCCCCGCCTCTCCATGTCCCCCTGGCCCCCGCAGTGGTGGCCCCACATCCAGTCCTCCCTCTTCTCCTAACAGGATGACTCCAGGGCCCTCTACCCCTTCAGAACCCAGTCCAAAACCTCCCAAGAGAAGCATCTTGGGCTCGCCCAACTCTCCTAGGCACCGGGCCTCACCTGGTACAGCATTTCCTGCTCCTCGCACGAGGGGAGGTGTGGTCAGCAGGGGCTGGGAGGTGAAGGCCAAAGCCCTCAGCCAGTTCCTTCCTGAGGCGCCTCCATCCAGAAAGAGCCGGGGAGCCACTGGGCCACCCCGGGCGCCTTTCTGGGCACTCGGGAGGGTCTGCGCTGTCAGGGCTGCCCAGGTCGCCCTGGGCCAAAAGAAGGGACAGAGCTGAATTCAGGAGCAGAAGTTGGTGCCCGCCCCCCAGGTCGGGGGGTTGGAGGTGGGGGCGGGAAGGAGGCAGAGCCCGGATCCAGCGCCGGACTCAGAGCTGGCCTGACAGGACTATCGCGCGCGCCTTGGGCTCCGGGCGGACCAGGCGGGGCGGCCCCGGCTGAGGTTGGTAGGGGCCCGGGCAACACCAGTTTGGGTTCAGCCTGCGGCAGTCTAGGTCCGGCTGGGGTCCGCTGGCGGCCACAGGTGCCCGGAGCCCGCGGGTTGCGGGCGGGGGGCGGGCGGCGCGGCCAGGCGGCGGTGCCAGTTCGCTCGCCCGCCCGCCCGAGCGTGCGTCCGGCCGGCCTGCGTCCGTGCGGGCAGCGGCCGGGCCGGGGTGGGGGCGGCGGGGGCCGGCACAGGAAGTCCCCCTGGCATCCGCATCCTGTCCCCCTCCCGCCGCCCGCGCGCCCCCGCGCCCGGGCCCCGCTGCAGCCGCCGCCGCCGCCGCCGCCGCTCTAGGCAGCCGTGAGCTCGGTGGGCTTAACCCTTCCCGGCCCGGCTGCTTGCCCGTGGTGGGGGGCGGAGGGGGTGGTGTCGAGGAGGAGACCCTGCGGTGCGGAGAGCAGCGCACTCTGTCGCATCCCCGGGTGTGCGCGTGTCTGCGCTGGGCTCAGCGACCATCGCTGCACCGATGGAGGGAGGCGGCGGCTCCCAGCCTCAGGGCGCCCATGGCCCCAAGACAAATTGTGGTCAATTAGCTCTCAATTAGATGACACTCAGTTAATGGAGAGGCCCCATCCTGGGCCGTGCAGTCTCTGAAGGAGCCGCCCTGCTCCACACCACGGACCCTCCTCCTGGACCCTGGGGTGGCGAGGGCAGGCCTGCAGGGTGGGGAGTATGTGCCCTGGGTGGGCTGGGGCGCTAAAGGACCAGATGGGGCCGTAGGCCGCCCTCTCGCTGGAGGGCTGAGCTCATCCCTGTCTGGACCCCCTGCTGGCTTCCTCTGTGCACCAGGCGGGTGGTCAGGCCCCCTCGGCCGCCGCCAGGTCCCTCTCCCTGGAGGCGCCAAGCTGCTTCCTGCCTGCGTCAGGGGTCTCCTCCTCAGGGAGGCCTTACATGACCACCCCAGTATCCCATCACTTTGCGGTACAGCTTCAAGCTGACCTCTAATCCCGAGTTCACATTTAAATCAGATACTCAGATTCTCTTGAAAAATCCAAAAATCTGGCATGGAGAGCTGCTCCTGGGGTGGAATGTGGGAATGCCCCACTGGGGGGTGAGGCAGGAAGGAGCCCTCATGTGGTCACAGCCCCTCCCCTGCTTACTGTTTCCATCCACACATGTGGCCCCCTTGTTGACGTCCTGGCCTCACAGGCACTGGAGCTTGGGACATCCCCTCAGGCCTTTGCCTGAAAGACTAAACCATCCCGAGGGCAGAGGGCCACATCTGCCTCATGGGGGTGGGGGTGGGGGGGAAACAAACGCAGCTTCAAGAACCTAGTTTTGCAGACAGAAAAATCTGGGTTCATAGCAGCCTCTTCCATCCAGGTATCAAGGCAAATTATTACCTTCCATCTGTGGAATGGGGACAGCACCCTGCTAGCCAGGAGCCTAAGGATATGTGAGCACCTGCCTCCTGCTATTGGCCGGTGTGCACCTTCCCTTCCCTTCCCTGGGACGGTCATACCTCCTGCCTCCGGGGAGACCCCATGCCCACAGGCCCCGAAGAACCCATCCCCCCTTGAATCTTTTACCTCTGCCTCTGCCTGCATTGGCTCATCCTCACGGCTCTCCCTTAAACATGCAAGCCCGCTTCTCCTGCCCTTGGTGGCCACACTTCCTGGGAAGATGCCCCATCCTAGTTCTGTCCATATCCTCATCCTTCCCCCTCTCCAACCTGGCCTCTGCCCCATCACTCCACCCAGACAACTCCCTTTAATGTCACCAGTGACCTCTGTGTCACTCAATCTTTCTTTATTCCACCTCTAGGCAGCATCGGACTGCTGCCTAGTGGTAGCTGCCAAGAGAGAGCAGCCTGTTCCCCCTTCCTCTTGGTCAGCCCCCTCTGACTCCTTTGCAGGCTCTGCTTCCTTCACCAGGGTTATTGCTCGCCCTTCCATGATGCAAACCTGCAGTAAGGTGTCTTCCCAAACCTAGTGTCCCCCTAAGAGCGTTTCTCCTGCCCATACCTGAGCAGCCAGCTCCAACAACCACCGCCCTCTCTGCGCCTTCTTTTCCCTTTAATTATTTTCATGGTAACACACGTACCTAAAGGAATCAGTCCAGTAGTTCTATGCCAGAAGAGCGTTAGCACTTCGGGAGTCCACTCCCATTGCTTCTCATAATTCTTGCCACACTTCTAAGTTGCACACTTATGATGCTATGACTCGATTTTCCTTTGTAGGTAGTAGCTATTGACATCCCGCTCTGAAAGATGCAGTTTGGAACTTCAGGAATGAAGAAAGAGCAACAGAAATTATAAACATATGAATGTCATAGACAATTTTTCTCCTAAGTTCTATAAAATATGCATAACATTGAAGGTAAAAATTATAACATTATATAGTGAGGTTTTCTGTGCATGAGATGTAATAACATGACAACAGTAACATAAAAGGGGGGGTACAAGTTGTAAGGCTTGTATACTGTACTTGAAGTGTTAAAACATTAAGTCTCAGTAGACTGTGATAAGTTAGGAATGTATCATTATAATCCCTAGAGAAACCATTAAAACACACACACACAATAACCAGAGATACAGCCAAAACATCAAAGGGTGAATTAAAAAGGAATATTAAGGAACTGAAGTTAGCGCAAGTAGTGGACTAAGGAACTCCGAAAATCCGCCCTTTCATAAAAGCAACTGTGTTAAACATTTCTAAACTTTATTTTCTTTATCTGATTACAAAATTAGTACGGCATGTTGCCAACATTTTAAACATCATACTTATTTGACAAATATTTACAGGTTCATTTTTCAGATCCTGTCTATACCAGTGCTAATTGAAATATGATGTAAGCCACTACTGTAATTGTAAAAATTCTAGTAGCCACCGTTAGAAGAGTAAAAAGAAATACGTGAAATTCATTTTGGTAATATATTTTATTTAACCAAATGTACCCAAAATAGTATCATTTCAACATGTAACTAATTTAAAAATTATTGAGGACTTTTACATTCTTTTTTTATATAAATCTTCCACACGTGCAGCATGTCTCCATTCAGCCTAGCACACTGGCTAGAGGCTTCCAGCCTAAAGTATGGAACAGCGTAAGTCCATACTTTAGAAAGGCTTAAGTCTCCTAAAATCCCAACCTCCAGAGCCAACCACTCCTAACAGCTGAGAGCACAGTCTTCCAGATGTTTCCGATAAAAATACATAGATGTATATACTTGTGAATTAACCAGGAATCTTTCAGTTGCAAGTGAAAGGAAATCACCTCCAAGTGGCTTAAGGAAAAAAAAAAAAAGGTTGGGAAGCATCTATAGCATCATGATTTAAAAGCCATCTACAGAAACCATCTTTAGGCATGTCAATCATCATCAGGACCCAGGACCTCTTCATTTGTCAGCTCTGTGTTTCTCTGTTAACAGCCACCTCCGTCCATGTGATTGCCCACCCCCCACCCAACTGCACACTTACATCCTCCCAGCCTCAAATGCAGAGAGGTTCTCCAGTAGTTCTGACTAGTCTTGGAATTGGGTTTCATTAGGGTTCACCAGGTTCATGTGTTCAGCGTTGGTCAGTCACCGTGGGGCTGCAGTGCTCAGCTCCGCCAGGCCTGGGTCATGCATCCCCACCTCCTGGTGTCAGGGACAGAGCCAGGGCCGCAGGGGTGAAATCAGGATGCTATCACTAAAAAGAAAAGAGGGGCTGGATTTTGGGTGGGCAGAAACAATACAGATTCGTTGTAACTAGAATATACTGTGGTTTTTCCTTTGTTTACACAGCTGAGATCATAATATACACATGGACTCGCATCAGCTTTCTCTTTAAATATGTTGGACATCTTTCCACATAGAACAAATATCTACCTAATTGGAAAAAACTCCCCCCAGCCTCCAACTCAACTGCAATGATATACCTTAGTTTATTTAACTGATGGCCATCTAAGCTTTCTCATCTTTTGATACTGCAAACATATTGTACCTAAAACCTAACGCAACTGAGAGAGCTCTTTTTTGAGATATGTCCCTACCACACTTGCTGGTCAAAGGATTATGAGTATATTTAAAATTTTTCATAGCTATTACCCTGATGCGGTTGTACTAATTTATTGGGTTGTCGGAAAGTACTTTTTCTATGTTTTTCGTTGCAAAAATGTGTCATGAGGCTTTTCTGACAACCCAATAAATCTTCACCAGCCAAGAATAAAAGTGCCTGTTTCCCAAACACTCTGCTGTTTCAAGGACGCTTTTAGTTCCAAATTTCACATACACCCAATTAAAGTTGGCTTAAGAGAGGGAAACACTATTATCTCACTTAAGAGGTGCAATGGTAGGGAGTTCTAGGCTTGGTTAAAGGCCTAAGGACACCTCAATGACCAACTCCCCAAGAGGACTGCCAGATGCTCAGTGCCTCAGAAAAGAGGTGCCATCTCCTCCAGGACAATGTCCAATGCCCAAACGTGTCCCGACTTCTGGTCCTTTTGGAGTTAGAGATCTTTCCAGGGAGCCATCTTTAGACTTACCCCCTCCTTAGCCAGAATCACACCCCATGCCCATTACAGAACCAAATTCTGACCAGAGGTATGGGAGGACATGCTGGTTTGGACCAATCACAATTCACTCCAACGAAGGAGCCCAGGGTCCCCAGATCAGGTGCCTCAAATGGGGTTCTTTATAGAGAAAGAGATGGCTGGCTGGCTGGCAAGAAATGGCCAGTAATTCTGTCACACACACTTGCTAACAACAATTTTTTCTAACGACTGCCAATGTGGGAGGCAAAATAACTTCATTTCTTTAGTTTACAGTTTTAAAGATTCTTCGTGATGTTGAACATTTTGTAAGCTGCAGAAGGCACCCAGGTATAATTAAAATAGTGCATTTTCAAGTAGCTGGATGATTTCTTTTCTGTCATTACTCTAGCAACTCAGATACCAAGTTAATTTCATTTTATCAGTTTGCTTTGTGTTTCTGACTTAATTACATTAAACATTTACATGGTCCCAAAGTCAAAACTACAAAACAAGGTACATTTGGCAGTCTTGTTTCACCCTGCTCCTCCTCCCTTCCCCTATTTTATTATTTTCCCTTATCCTTTATTTCTACTCATATTTCTCCCCACGTCCTTTCTTATGCAAAAAAGGGAGCACACCATAAACGCTTTTCTGGGCCTTGCTTTTTTCTTTTTACTTAATAAATCCTAGCAATCACTCCATAGCATGATCTAAAGCCTGAACAGTAGCTTAATATGCTTCCGTGTGGCTAAAACATGGTGACAGACTTATGGGAAGTTTTTGATCGTTTGCTACTATCCACAATGCTGCAAAGCCTTGTATGTATATTATTTTGTCTTTTTGCCATTGGATCTAGAAGTAGGTCCCAGGCAAAGGGCAAATGCATGTGTTATTTTGCTAAGTGCTGCACATTTCTCTCCAAAGGGGTTGTACCAATTTGCGCCTCCACCAGTTCCACTGAATTAAGTAGGTGATCCAACGTCTCATTTCTAGGGTTCCATCTGGCTCTTTTTCAGATCTGCTAGGAAATTCATGCTTCCTTTTCCTCTGCAGATACTTTCACGCCTGTCTTTTACTCCTTTAAATAAAGTAAGCATGAGTGTTTTAGTCTGACTTGACAATTCTGACACTGGAAACTCCTGAACCTGTCCCTGCTCATGCCACCTTGTGCATTTTTCACTGTGTATCGGTTGTTATTTTGAACAATCGTCTGTGGGCATTTTGAGGCCTGGGATGAATGCGTTCCCCCCAGAGGGGGTGCATTTGCTCCACCGCACACCCGAGAGGACTACAAGTCTAGGGACCCCATGAACTGAAGTCACAGAGGGAGGTGCCCTGGGGGTACTCAATGCTGTCACCGGGGTGAGGACCTGCCCAGCCCTCACTTCCCAGGGTGACCTTCTTCTGGTGTTTTCGATGCTCTGCAGTGCTGGAGGGCCTTCCCACAGAACTCTGTTTTCACTGAGGATGTAGGCCTTGGGGCTCCAGCAAAATGGAGATGGCCTCTTCGTAGACCCTCACCTTGACCCTGAATCCCTAGGGCCCTCAGGGCAAAAGTACCTCAGGGTACCTTACCTGCCTCTAGGTCGCTGCTTCCCCAGCGTCGGACCTGGAAGTTCTTTCCACCTGTAGGCTCTTTAATACTTCGAGCGAGTCTTGTCTTTTATCCAGCATTTTTAGTTAAAACAGAAGGGTGGGCCTGAAAAAGCTGGCTCATTGCTACCAGAAATAGAAGCTCTAACATGCACTTTTAAAAAATTAACTTTTAATGAGGCAAGTAACACGTGAGTACATCATCCTTATAAAAACATAAAACACATGCCATGTTGGCTAGTCTCTAGGCCCAAAAGGGGCTTTCCTTATTTACAGCAGCTGGGGTAATTCAAGTCCTGCAGCCTTTCATTACGACTCAGAATGGATTTTTAAATTAAAATTTTAAAAACAGAACTGACACTTGAACACTATACAGTAAGGCAAGGTCTCCTTTGGCCACCACCCCATTTCCAGTACCTTCCCCAGGCATCTCCCCTCTTTTCGGTTTGGTGTATATCCTTATCACGTTTACACACATATCCATGTACCTGTGGGAAAGTGGCAGTGCCATCTCTTTGTTTGTTTGTTTTTTAACGTACACGGCATTACATGCTTCATAATACTATGCAAGTTTTCACTTAGCAGTATTTCTGGAGGTTCTTCTCTTGTCAGCAGCCCATGGGGCAAAACCAGGAAGCCCACAGGTCAAATCCGGTTAATGAACATGTTAAGGTTAACCCAAGCAGTGCTGGGGTCGTTTCTTTGGGGGGCATGTTTTATTAGAGTATAATTAACTGCATATGGAAAAGTACACATCAGTGCACAACTTGATGAATTCACACAAATAGCACCTATGAAGCCTTTTAATCATCACCCATTCTCCACCACCATCTCAACTTGTAACACCACAGATTAGTTTCCAAATGAGGTTTTTCAAACTAAGAAAATACAGCAAAAAAATATACCTCCATTTTCTCTTGAAAACTCAGAAGCCCTGGCAACATTCAACTTGGTCCAAGTGCCCAGGTACAGCAACCATCAGATCAGCTCTAGGTGCCCTCCGGTTTGGCAGAGAACCAAGTTCCCTGATGTATAATTCTGGAAGCTTCATCCATTGGCATGACCTCCCTGGTCCCTAGCGATGTCTGAGTTTACAACATACGACTGGCCAATCCTCTATTGATGGCTAGTCAAGCTGTTTCTTATTTCCTTTATTAAAAAAAAAATACTGCACCCAGTGTTTCCATATAGATATGTGTGTGTGTCTCCAAAAGGTTCAAAAACATGTCCACAGAAAACCTTGTGCACAAATGTTCACCGCAGCATGGTTCATCAGAACCAAAGGGGTGCAAATGTACATCCACTATGAATGGATAAATAAAATGTGGTCCATCCACACCGTGGAATATTATTTAGCCATAAAAAATAACCAAGTAGCGGCCCTACTACAGTATGAACCTTGAACACATGATGCTCAATGAAATAAGCCAGTCACAAAAGAGCACGTATCCCATGATTCTGTCTACATGAAATGTCCAGAAAAGGCGAATCCATAGACAAAGTAGACCAGCGGTTGCCAGGGGCTGGGGGCAGAGGAGGAGTGACTGTTAACGGCTGCGGGGTTTCTTTGTGGGACAATGAAATGTTCTGAAATAGATAGCGGTGATGGCCGCACAACTGTAAATACACTGAAAACCAGTGAACTGCACAATTTCAATGAGTGAACTGGGTATGTGAATTCTCTCTCAATGGAGCTGTTACAATAGGCCCCCGGCTTTAGAGGGTTCCCAAGTGTGGATCGAAAATACAGGTTTTGATCCTCCATTGGTTGAATCCAGACATGAAACCCACAGATGCTTTAGTTTACACCTTTTTGTATAAGAGACCTGAGCATCCTTGGGTTTTGGGGGTCCTGGAACCAATCCCCACCAGACACAGAGGATGACTGTACCTCAAAAACAATCCTGCCGTGATCACCTTAAACATCCCTTTCTGTTTCTGTAATTGCTGGGTCACAGTCATTTTATCTTTTAATTTCCACAGTGTCTGAACAGATTTACTCTACCACAGTGTGATGTTTCCTCGCACCTTTAGCTACATTTTCCATTCTGCCAACCTGACAGGTGAGTGAAAAAACTGCATCTCATTTTCATTGACATTTCCCTGGTTATCAGTTTCAAAATCGTTTTATATTTATTGACCGTTTGTCTTTTCTCTTCTTTGAAATTTGTTTATATCCTTCACCCATTTTTTTACTGGAATGTCTTTTGATTAATATAGTTTTTAATACATTCTATACATATACTTTTGTTTTATACACTGAAAATATTTCCTCATGTAGCAATTTTTAATATATGGAAAACCTTTAGCAAGTGCCTGGCACAAATTCACCAATCAGGAGGGACACCATTTTTAATAGGTTGACTTAATTGCTCACAAACTGCTAAAAATGTCACCAAAGAAAGCCTGTGGCTCTAGTAGCTTTATTTCCTGGAACTGCGGAGTGGAGGCCGCCTTCTGGAAAAGAGCCATGCTCAGAGACCCTCTCTGACCACGAAGTGATGGAAAAAAGCTGCTCTCTCATCCTTTTCAGAAACACTGGGTACCAGAGTCAAATACCAAGAACTAGTCAAGGGCCAATCTCGTTAGCTTCATAGATGCCGCTCACCTAGGGAAGGGAGCAGGCATTTTACTTCAGTCCCTACTCTGACACCAGAAAATGTATACAGAAACGGGAAACACAGGGACAATGAAATCAAACTGAAATTTCTAGTTCATGGCTCTCAAAAGCATTTTAAACACACATTCCAGATAGGCTTTGCTTGCAGGCCCGTCCCTACATGCCTGCTGTGGCTGTGGGAAGCTGGCTGAGCAGGCTGCCACCCTGAGAAAGACACATGCTCAGGGGCCAGGCCAGCCAAGACTGGCCCTTCCTTCCAGTATCTGCATCCTCATCTGGAGGGATGCATTAAACTCCAGACTCAAAGAAGAAAGACACACACGCGTGCGCGCGCACATGGGGATTTATCAGGCAATCTGATTTGGTCTCATCTTCCGGGTCATGGCCTCCAGCCAGCCACACAAGGGTAAACAAACTACAAGGTTAAATTTCATCCTTCAAGTTAATCTCAGTCCTTTGATGCTCACAGTTTGCTTAACCATCTCATTCCTCACCTTCAGCCTACAGGATCCATGGTTACTGAGAACTTTCTTTCCTTCCAAAATTAATAAATGATAACTCAAAAGCACGTACCTTCCAATTGCGTACTAGCAAATAAATTCCTGAGGGCTGTGTTTTGTACCTGAGGGAAGAACTGTACCTGAAGCAAACAGACCGGGAGTGCCCTGATGTGCCAGCAGACCCCGGACACCATGCACAGCATGGGGTCGCTGTCGGCCATGCTTCTGTCAAAAGGAGTGGCCAAAATTGTATCCAATCTTCTCTTCTTGATCGTGGCAGGCTGGGGAAGAAACCACTGCAGCTCACATTTAGTAAGTTCTTAAAATACATTCCATAAAGTCTATAAAACTATTAAGAAAAAAATTTATTTGAAGATATGAAAGGAAATTTAGAGACCCCAATAAAAGAGAGAAGTTCCTTTCCTCAGTGGCGGGGACAATCCTCACAGGTGTCCATGAACAGTGCCAAGTGCTGTGTGTAAGCTCGTGATCACAAGGCTGCAGCTTCCAGCTCCCGGAGCTGTCCAAGTAGCCTGTTTATGGCAGGAACACGCCCCATCCACAAGGAAAGAAGCCAGACAAGGACTTGTAATGCTGCTTCTCACATCCGGGTCCCCGACAGCACAGGCTCAGAGCGTGTGTCTGAAAAGACACCCGACACAACAGGCTCACAGAATTCGCATCTTTTAAAGACGCCTGCATCGCTCCGTGGAGGGCTGGATGCTTTTCCTTTGTTCTGTCCAATCTGGACTCTAACGAATGTGTCCAGGTGGGAAGCACCTGGATGGCGACGCCACAGGACTTCCACACCAAGACAGTCCTGCCGGTGAGGAGGGGCCGCCTGGCTGCCCCCCACAGGTCGTCTTCTAAGGGAGGGTCGCCCCCTCTGGAAGGCCTCCTCCGACCCAGGCGCAGAAAGCACACTGCCACTCGGTGGTACGTGGGCCAGCCTAGCGGATGGGCCTGAATGGAAACGTCATGCCCGAGAGGAAGCTGTGCCCGGGGTGCGTGGGCAGGGCGGGGTGGGCGGCGGGATGGGCTGGCACGGCCCCGTAGCCCAGCGGGGGCGTGTGGATGTGAGGGTAGAACCCAGGGGGCAGTGCGGTGTGTGGTGACTGCTGCACGGGGCCCGAGATCACCAGCTGGAGCAGGCTGCAAACACAAGGAGAAGGATTAGGACACGTGGACTCCAACGACGACACCCACCTGACCCGCGGCATCGGGGCTGGTCCTGTCCCTATCATGGCGCCACAGGGGAGCCAGGGGAGAAGCCTGGATATGTGGGGCCCTCACACAATTGCCAGGAGAGGCACCAAGGCAGGCGCGGAACACGCAGGTTTCCAGATTGGGAAAGTGAGCAGGGAGGATGGAGGGTGGCTAGTGGCCAGGGACGGGCAGGAGGAGGGGACAGGGTTTAGACTGGGACCATGGCAGCGGGCAGAGGAGGGGCGGGCAGTGGGAAACGCCAAGAGCCTGAGAGCCACAATTCGGAGGGAGGGGCCTGAGGAGACCCAGGTGCCCCAAGAAGAAAGACTACAGGACTGCAGGGAGGGGGTCCCCAGTGTCTGCGGCTCGGGGACCACTGCAGGCCATCATCTGTTTCAGCCTCAACTGTCGACACTGAGAGAGTCTTGACAGAGGCCCCGCAGCCAGCAGGCCAGCAGGTGGGTTTTCTGTCATCCTTCATGACTGAGTCCTAACTGCACTCTTCGCAAAGCCACACGAAAGCTGGCCTTCCTGCCATCCAGGGGTCCTGCGGAGGCCTGGGCCCACTCCCTTCCCACTCCCAGCCCTGTGGAGCTTCAGACCCTCCTGCCGCTTGCGCCGTCACTCCTGGTGACAGGCTCCCGGGCTCTGGGAGCGTCCCCTTCCACCCACACCCATGCCCCCTGCTCATCACACCCGCGGCCTCCACAAACAACGGCATACCCATCCTTCTTGCCCCAACTCCCTTCTAGTCTCCATGACACCCCCAAGCCTGGGTGCTCTGCACCTTCTCCAGCCTGCGTTCTCTCTCTGGTTTGGGACATCCTCTGCCCTCCTGAATTCAATGTCATTTCCAATGCCATGGTCCCTTCTGAAACCCCTTGAGGAGCTTCGTCTTCTCAGTCTCATCCTTTCTAACTCCACTCTCAGCGGGAGGGGCTCAGGCAGTAGGCTGAGGGCATGAAGAAGGCTGGTGCCGTTAGTGGGCCGGCTCCCTATCAGCATTTTAAAGCCCTAAAAACATTAAAGATTAAATAAAAGCTGTGTCCAGAGAAGGGAAATGGTACAATGGGATTACTGCAAGAGGCGCCAACTTATACTGACAATGTCCTCAGATGCCTGGGAATTTTCTTACAGTCCAGAAAAAAAAAGAGACCAGTGTGGGCTCCTGGGGGAAATGTGGCCCTCGGGACAAACTGTCCACTCGGCCGATAGAAATCAAATCAAGCAGGACCATTTTATTCTACCTTCTATTGTCATATCTACCCAGATACTGTCCCCTGCAGAGCTGGACACAGAGGCCCCCTACCACGCTCAAAGGACACGGGTCCCCTGGCTGCAGCTATCTCACTGGCAGCCCGTGAATTAACATCTGCCTGATCCTTTGGCCTCAAATTAGGGATGTTTCTGTATTAGCCTGCCACCCGTGCCCATGCTGGCTGGTCCTGGCACACATGGTGCTGGCTCGCTCGTCGTCTATCCACAAGACCGACGAATGCCAACCTGGGAGCCCTACCACCTGTTAAAGACCAATGTGACCGTTATCATCCCACCAACTTAACTGGAGGTTTCACTTCTGTAAACCCTGCCATGTGCACGGGAAGTGCCTACAGGAGTTCTGCCTTCATCTACAAACATTTCAGTCGCCAGCTGCCACAATGGCTACACTCTTAGTGGATAGGACACAATGTTCTAGCCTTCCGACCTCACACAGCAAACATACTAGGTGCCCCCCTGGGACAGTCAGGTTGCTTCCAGGCTTTTGCTACTAATGCTGCATTTGCATCAAACATTTTTGTCCAGGTAGCTTTTTGCTTCTTTAAGTCAGTGGAATTAATTAGATTAAGCAGAATTCCTAAATCATGGAAATAACAGTAAAAGTGACAGCAGCAAACACTTCTTAAGACACTGTATAACAAGTACTGTTCTAAGTGCTTTCTGTTGTTTTTACTCATCTAATCCTCACAGAACCCCTCCTGCAGGATGTGGGGGAGGCAGCAGGGAGAGGCAGGTAGTTATTTTCCGGATTTTACAGAGAAGGTGGAAGGAGTGGGAGATAAGGAACTTGCCCAAGGTCACACAGACAGGAATTAGCAAAGCTGGAATTCTTCCCAGAAGCTGTGCGATCACAGTTCCTGCTTTTCACCACTATTATCACTGCTTCCCCCAAATTATGACAATAACCACCATTTATGAAGAGCGCCCCGTGTGCTGCAGCCCAGGCTGAGAAATATACAGACGTCAGTCACCCTGTTTAATCCTCAGCACAACCCCAGGAGGTCGGTGAATCAGTGCCTTCATTTTACAAGGGGGACAACGGAGGCTCAGAGCCCAGCCAGCGCGGCCGATGCCGAGGTGCTGGCCTGGCGGACACACTGCGCCCTAGAGATGGGGCTCTGCAGTATTTCCCAAAGGGCTGTGGCAACTCTCAATGTCATCGATACTGCACCTGTACCAATGTCACCACAAACACTATGCACAAGGGCTTAGGAACCGGTAAATGACTGCATTTATTCTGGTTTCTTTCCTCGACGCCAGCCATGACCATCCTTTTCAGCTTTGATTCACTCTCTCCGTGGCCTTTCTCTCATGGGGGTTTTGCCACAGCTGTCCCTACTTTTATCAAGTCCTTAAGGGGCTCTTTCTATACAGAAGCTCTAGACTGCAGACCAAGGCAGCCAGGACAAGGGGACCACCCTGCCTTGCACCCCACCCGTACCCCTCACCCAACTAGATGTCTTGAGAGGGCACTTACTTATTATGGGGCAGCCTGGAGCACAAGGTTCTCAGGTCCTCTGAAACCAAGGAGATACATAATTAGCAACAGGTGGGAGACAACAAGGTGGAATGTTCTCTGATGTTCTTTTCGAGGATGCTAGTGAGACAGTAACAGTGACTGATACCATGCTTTGCTAGCACTGTTAGAAACTGCATTCTCTTTTTCTTCAACTTTTGCTTTAACAAACTAGGCCCCAAATAGACTACATCACTTAAGAAAGGGGCAAGTTGTCGGATGGCTGCCAAAGGCCCAGAGGCAGGGCTCTCTGGGAGCCGATCAGACTCATGAGGCCTTAAGAGCATGAGAAGAGGGCAAGCCATCACCAGTGACCACATCTTGGGGCCACAGGCAGCTACTGGGAGCCAACAGTTAAAAAGCAAACACACGTGTGTCATTAGCATCAGCTCATTCTCCTGGGGCAGTTCAAGCATCAAAATGCAAAAGAATGAAGGAACCCTCAAAACAGGTGATGGGAATGTCTTAATGCACTTAAACCTGTGCATTTTACTTTATGTAAATTATGCCTCAATAAAAACGGACTGCAGAAAAATAAGATTCCCTAAGAGGAGAGCTATAAGCTATTCTCCGCTCAGCAAAACAGCCAGGAGACACTCCAGCGTCATGGTCGTGGCGCTCTGCCTGGGTATGTCCTGTGACGTCCCCCCACTTCCCATTCATGTTCACTATGAGGAAAGAAATCCTAAAAGAGGCAGAACACAGTAATTGTCCAGGAGCCCCCATTTTCTTACGGAGAGGTGGCAGTGTCCCCACCCCCAGAAAGGCCGGGACAGGAAATCACCCACCTCTTGTACACAGCAGGGCACCAGAGGCCATGGCCACCTGCAAAGCCTGTGCCAGCCGGTCCAGAGAGAGCTCGATCTCTTGGGAGGCGTTGAGGGGGTTCAGTTCATCTGCCAATCTGTTGATCTCCTCCACCAGCGGGACCATGTGGTCAAACAGGATGAGTCCCAGGCGCCCGTAGAGATTCTTCTCGGTCAGGTGCACCTGGAGCATCATGAGCACCTGCAGGATGCTGAGGTGGAGTTTGGAGTACAAGAGGTGGGAGTCTCTGTCCATCGCTCCTGAGTCCTGTGCAGCTTTGCTGGTGACGTGGCCGTTGGACAAGGAGGGCTTCTTCCTCCTTTTATAAGCCAGAGGGGCCTTCACACACCAGCGGATCAATCCAGTGAGCGGCGTGAGCTCTAAAAATCCTATTGGGAGATTGGCTGCTATCGGAGTATTTAAAAAAGTGATGAGAATCAATCTTGGGTCCTCAAAAATCCAGGTGACAATCATTTCAAGCAAGTCCAATGGTGGGATGAGATCATCTGCAAAGACATGTTAAGGCAGGAGGGTTTTCAGCCCCAGTGACAAGCAGACAGAGCGGAGATGGACCCCTACGCTCACAGTCCTTGTCACCCGCCACTCAGAACACCTACTCCGTTGCTTGTCTATCTTCTGTCTCCTGCCCTGGAACAGTCCCTCCGTGAGGCTAGGACTGTCATCTTAGTCAGTGTTTTACCCACGGTGACAGGACAGTCAGGCCAGGGTGGGGCTCAAGGAGTATTTAACTCAACAGTTCCCTAGAACTCCATTGTGCCTTGAAGAACGTTCATCCCGTGTGTCATTTAAATAAAATTCCACACTTTTTATGTCTGAAGCTCCCACCACACTTCTCTTTCCCTGGTGACTAAGGCTTCATCCCTGTGTCTGAGGCACATGACAGTTACAGTGGCCTTCAATGATCTGTCAGCTGCCAAGGGCCATCCCAACCCCAAACCTGGGACCCTTGTCTAAGCTACAGCCTGACCTCCTAATGCCCCCTAGGAACTGGCACGCTCCATGGCCTAGACAGAGAACAGTGATAAAAACAAATGTTGACATTTATTTTGGGCTTACTGTGTTCCAGGCACTGGTTTAATTCCTTTACACAGATTAACACATTTAATCCTCAAACAACCCCAGAGGAAACTGAGGCACCGGGATGTTAAGTAATTGCCCTAGGACTCATCAAAAGTATGTGGTGGGCCCAGCTCTGACCCTGGGTGTCCTGGCTCTTAACCACGATCCCATCCCGGGATCGGCGAGCAATGCCTTTAGGTGGCTGTGCACGGGAATGGGTCCCAGCCTCCCATCTCTGGGGCTGTGTACCCCGTAGCTCATGACAGAGCCCTGCCAGGCTGCTGAGGTCCGATGACACACATGAAGGAGTAAGGAAAAAAGAGAGGGAGGGAGAGAAAGAATGTATTGCAATTTTTAACCATTGGTGAATCTGGGTGAGTGAGATAGGAGTGTTTGTTATAATTTCCTTGCAACTGTCTTGAAGTTTGAAAATTTTTCAAAATAAAGAATGAAGGAGGGCCGGCTGAGTGGTGCATTGGTTAAGAGCTGGCTTGGGATGCCAGAGGGCCCCGGTTCGGATCCCACATATGAGGGCCAGTGACACTGCACTCTACAGCTAAGATGCTGAACAACAGCTCAACTTGGAGCTGGGCTGCCAGGAGTCGACAGCGAAGGCTGCAACCCCTGCTGCAGTGGGTTGCCATGGGCTAATGTGTGCAGCCAGCAGCCGCAGTGAGCGGCTGCCCAGAAGCCGGCAACTGATCTGCCTCACCCAGGAAGAGCGCAATGATGGTGCCAACTTGGGCCAGTAAAGCAACGTCCTCCACAACTATACTGAAGAACAAAATGACAGCAACTTGTCTGTTCCCCTTCCCCCAGTTCCCCAGTGTTGTTCTCATCCCCCAATTCCCCAATAAAAATCTTAAAAAAAAAAGAATGAGGGATTAAAAAAAAAAAGCAAGTCAAATCTAGGGAGAAAGCCACATTTCTTCCAGACACCAGATCCTAGCGTTTTGGGCTGTCTGCCACTTGGACCATTCTAGATCAGGCAACTGGGAATCACTAAGGAAAGCTTCCTGTTAGCAAATTCCAGAAGTCCAGGTGGCCCATTCCTTTAGTTTTCAGACTAAAATAAAACATACTTTTCAGAGAAAAAAAAGCCAAAGCATTCACTGGACATTTCATCTGGGTGTTCACTGGGGAAAGAACTGGCAATCAGCCAAAGCTTCTTTAATGGCAACAACCTATTTAAAGTTTACCTGACGACAAGTCATAAAGCGCAGTGACAGCAGTTATGAACTGGCAGCAGAAACGAGGGCTGGCACTGAATATCTGCTTCAGCGTCTGCACGGATCCTGGCACCAAACAGCAGTAGTCGTCCACGAGGGCTCTGGCTAACCTCACACAGTAGACCACAGGTGTCCGCTGGAAAAAAGCCACAGTTCACGTAACTACAGATGTCACGAGCTAGTAGACTAGAAAGTTCATGCCCCTGGTGAAGACCACCAGAACTGGCAGAACCATTGCTGGAGGGCTGAAGGTCTTAACAGCTTCCTTCGAAGCAGGGCTGGGCAAACTAAAGCCCACAGACCAAATCCATCTCACCACCCATTCCTGTAAATGAAGTTTTACTGAAACACAGCCCTGCTTGTGTTTGCCTCTTACATTTCAAGGGCAGAGCTGAGTAGCGGTGACAGAGACTATGTGACCCGTGAAGCCTAACATACTGCCCTTTACATAAAAGGCCTGACAACCCTTGTTTTGTAGTTTACTTAGGAAAGATCATTTCTGACTTGGGTGAGGAAATAACTTCCGTAACCCTGTAGGTGAGACCCCAAAGGTAAAAATTAACAGCTTGCGGCCACGTTAGAGGAATTGAGGACATTCTGTGAACTAGCACATGACATAGAGCAGTCCTTCCATTTCTCTTACAGTCCCATGCTCCTACAGGTTTCCATAACACTTTCAAGTCCCCATCACCACCCTCCTCTGCCTTTTTTCCTTCCCCCTCAGATGCTGATCTGTAACTGCTGCCATATTCAACAGTAGCTCAGGATGCTCTAGTTCCAGGGCCCCCAACATGGCCCGCAGGGGAAACTGCCAAGGAGACAGCAGACCAGGCTGTTCCTTCAGGCTGAACTCTGCCCACAGCACCACACTAGCCATCTCTGCCTTTCCTCTGGAGGAGGCTGGAACCCCTCGCCCCAGTGTGGCAAATCCTGACCCGAAAACCCTGAGCCCCTGTCCTGTTATTCACATCTGCTTTCATTTTGCCAAAACGCCAGCACAACCGCATCGTGAGCGATAAAAGGAAAAGGATATGATGAGTTACAAGATGCTAAACTTGATTTCACCAGGCTGTCAAGGGGTAGAAGTAATCTCGAGGTTAAATACAACACGATTGATTCAGATGCCCCAGAAATCACGCTGGTGAGAGTTAAGACACAGTTCCCACTGAAATTTACCTGTGTACTACAAAGAACAATATCTTTTTGAGAGCCAAAATTTAAGGATAAACAAGATTACAAAAAAAATTTAAATACATTGAAAGAAACCCAAATGGTTTCGACTGGGAAATGAAGGAGGTTTGTGAAACTGAATGTGGTAAATTCTGTTACCATAGCTGAGGATCATATTAATCAAAATTTTGAGTTGTAATTACTATAAATGGGTTATCAAATTTTCAGACTTTGAGTAAAAAAACAACATGAATCTTCCAAAATACCATCTAACATGATATCTACTGTAAATATACATTTTTTTCTTCAATATTTAAAAACACTCTAGAAGGCTCTCATGTTCATATCCATGAGAACAGCCATCCACTTTGTAATGTCATCCTGGAACATTTATGGAACATAAACTCACACGCTTACTGACCTCACTGTAAAAGGCAAACATTGCATAATCTGACATATTGGGTTGTTGAAAAAGTCATGACGTATTTTTTTCTGTGTTTTTAATTGCAAAAATGCATCATGACTTTTCCGACAACCCAATATAATAATCCTAAAAAAAAAAAAATCCTGTCTTTGAGGCTGCATGCATAGTTGTTTTCAAAATCCTACCTATGATTTTCAACTAAAAAATATTATTTTTCACTTGTTCTGAAGATGGAGGCTTTCTTTTTTTCAACTCATTTATCATTATAAACTACTGTTTTTTCAAGAATGGTTACTACCTGCATATAAATACAGGTCTGGGGTACCAGCATACATGGTAGTGACATCAAGTAGTTATCATGTGGAAAAGGCCTCTCGAGAAACCCAATTAATTGAAAATTCCTGACACTAAGCTCCTCTTCAGAGACTCCCAGGAAAAGGCTATTTCAGAAGTACCTGGAGCCAGGAGGCTGCACACTCCAACACTGGGATTCGACACACGGCCACTGCCATGGAGACCAGTTTTCCCAACAAGCTCATCCGGCTGTCATCGGCTTTGTTCCCTTGGGGGCTGAAAAGGGATGAGAAAATAATCTGCCGCACAGAGTCCTTGGTTTGCTCCTGGAAATAATTGCACATGATTTCAAGAAGTTGGAGTTCCTGAAGTGAATTCAATCTCTATAAAACAAACCCAGGAGAAGTGATGAGAAATTTAGTTTTAACACGCACGTTAACTCATAGTCAGAAAACAGAAACTATACTATTTTCCCCAGAGTACAGTACATTTCACCCCTCTGAAGCCCAGGTGCCAGGGAGTAGATCTCTACTGATAATCCCAGGAAATGTCATTATACATCATTATGCATCATCTCAGGGGCTCGGAATGACAAGCAGAGGTTTGAGACTCTCAGTAACAAGCCTTCCAAGTCTCCTCCTTTAACACCATTGAGACACGGCTGCCACACGCCGGGCAAAACAGGCCAACAGCTGAGCAATGCTCGGGACTCCAGAGAACGAGGCTACTGAAGGAGCAAGGCCAGCGGCGAGAAAGGGGCCCCGGATAGCAAGAGCGTTTGCGGTTTGCCCAACACTTGTCACCGAGACGGGGATAAAAAGAGCAGGAGCGTGCTGCTCCGGCCGCGGTCACCCCGCCCTTCGGTCAGCCCGCCGCACCTTGGGCTGCGCGCCGCGCTCCTTGGGCACCTGGAACACGAACTCCTCCAGCAGCTCCACCGGGCCCTTGTCCACGATGGGCAGCGGCGCGTTCTGCAGCTGGCTGCTGAAGTAGATGTCCAGGTGGTACAGCACCTCCTTGGCGGCGCTCAGCGCATCGCGGCGCAGCAGCGAGTGGCGGATGTCGCTCATGGCGCGGCCGCTGCAGTTCGGGGCACCGGGAGCGCGTCGGGACTTCCGCCCCGAGCCCCGCGGACGCGCCCGCCGTCCTGGAGACAAAGAGGCCGCGACCCAGCCTCCGCCCGCCGAGCCAGGCCTGGGCCGCGGCGCCCGCCCGGCCGTCGCTACCCGCTCAGGGCTGCTCAGGGGGTCATCTCCGCCGCCAGCCTGAGGAGACCCCAGGTGTGCGACTGCAGCGCCACGGAGAGCAGCGAGAGCCCGACGCTGCGGAGCCGAACGGCGGCGGAATGCCGAGCGCGGCGACGGCGGCCCGCAGGGGTCAAGCACAGTCCGCGGGGAGGGCCGGCTCTCAGGAGGGCGCCACCTGGCGGCTCGGCCCGCGGACGCAGAAGGGCGCCGCCACGGCCGGAGGTACGCCCCGCCGCCGCAAGCCACGCCCCCGGGCCACGAGACAGCCTTCGGACCACCGGGTCCCGCGAGTGCCAAACCGCCAGGATGGGGAGCCACTGCCACCAAAGAGGGCTAGTTGGGTCTTGCGCTCCCCCGCAGCCTCGCAAGGCGGGCCCAGGCTCCCTTTGCTTCCCTTGCCTGGGGTTCAGCGCCTACACGTTTCCTTTCACCCGGCTTTCCTACCGGTATGGACTGGGGGGGAGGGGGGGGTGACAGGCCCAGGCTCAGGCCTCGCTGATTCATCTTAAAGATTATATCTAGTCTGAACTCATGAGGCTGCAATGACAAATGATGCCTCCCTGAGTCCCGGTTCCTGTCCCCAGAGTTCCTGTTCCCCAATCCCCTTCAGAGTGACCTGGGAGGGCCATGGGGATCTTAAGTGTCCTGCTCCTAAACACTCTCCCATCATAAGGTCCTCAGCACTTTCTATGAATCCCCTTTTCTGCATTCATCTCTCTGTACTGAATTAACTGAGAGGTCAGTTTGGGATTTTTAAAATAGGACAGAAAAGACTTGAATATGGCCACAAGAGGCCAGTAGAGGGCATGCAGGAGGCTACAAGTACAGAAATGTGCCTTGTGCAAAAGACCCAAGCAGGCCTGAGGGCAAGCCTGGGTGAAGATGCTGGGGATAATTAAAAAGAAAAAAAAAAGGCAGAGCCTTTCCCTGGGAGAGATGGGAAGGGCATCAGAGTGGCACAGCCAGGCACAACTCCAAGTCCCCTACCCCTCCTGTGCTTCAGGGGATAAAGCCATAAGGCTCCTGCCCAGGAGCCACGAGTGCAGTGGGAGACCAAGGTCAGCTAGAACCTCTGAGGAGCCATCTCTGACCCTCTTGGCACCAGGACTTCAGAGAAGCCCTGTTCCGACAGGCTGGTGAACAGGTGATGAGCAAGGGCTATTTCTAAATATTAGGCACTCAGTACACACTAGTTTTCCCTTCCTTAACCACTAAAAGCTGATTTATAAATACACAGCAGAAAGCAGAAAAAAATAACCCAAACAACCAATGCTTAGAAAGTATCCATATGTATAAATAAACGGATTCTATATTTAAAAGGCAGTAACACTCTTTCCATTCTTATTTCTTCTTTCTCTCATAATGTACAGCAGCAGGTAGAAAGATCTCTCTAAGGTTGCTCCAAAGCCCGTGGGAGTAAATGTTCCGGTAGACCTGGGGCTCTGCTGATGGGGGCCGGGCCACGTGGGGGCAATGCTGGCACCAGGCCCGGTCACCTCTGTACCACTCGTTAGTGGTCTGGTTGGTGGCAGCCAGGTATAGAGCAAAGCACAGGTAGCCGCCCAGGAGGAAGCTCAGCACCAGGACAAAGCCCACCATGAAGACAATCCTTGGGAAGGTCAGGAACAGGTACTGGGGGCAAAGAAAAAGCAGCACATTAGGTGGCTGGGCTGTGATACAAGTAAGGGTCATCACCCGCCAGCCCTGGTCTTGTCCACAAGACCATCAGAGCTGCCTTCCCAGCTCACCCACTTCTGTGCACATCTGGCCCACTGAGCACAAATTAGAACCATAAACAGCACTGACCAACAGCCCTGGAAAAAATGCTAGTGTATACAAGAGTTTTTAACACGGGATAAACGAAGTGTGTGCACTGAAGGAAAAGGGAAGGATACTCGGGATGGGGCTATGCTTAGCTATTTGTAAAATGAACAAAGACATAAATGTAGATCTTAGTTCATGGATCAAAATGAAGTCCAGATGGAAAAAACAGATCACTTGCTCTCAAAACGAAATGACCACAGGGGTACACGTATAGCCCCTCTTCCCAAAAGAAACAAGTTAAATGCCCATCCATGAGAAAGTACAACTCTGGGACAGTCATACTATGGAATAGTAAGGAGCCGTTAAAATGAGGTCAATTTCTATGTACTAATTTGGAAAAGATGGTGGCAATACACTGCCCAATGAAAAAGACAAGATGCAAGGATCACAACGGATCCTGTTTGTGTAAACACAAAACTGACTCTAGAAGGTGTGTGGCAATATAAACAAACAGGAAAAAAGCCCGAAATATACACATCAAAACACAAAAGTGGTTGCCTCTAGTGAGTGAAAGTGTTGGGAGGGGAGGAAAGCAGTATAAGTTTTCATTTCATTTTATTTTCAAGATGTTTTAAATTTTCTTCCCCTGCCCCCAGCTTTGAGATATAATTGACATATAACATTGTGAAAGTTTAAGGTACACAATTTGTGCAAAACATAGTTGATTTCACGTGTATGCGTCGAAATGATTACCACAATAAGGTTCGTTAACATATCCAGCACCTCACGGTTACAATTTTTCTTTTTGTTTTGAGAACTTTTAAGAGCTAGGCTCTTAGCTACTTTCAAATATACAAAACAGTGTTGTCAACTATAGTCACCATGCTCTACAGAAGATCCCCAGGATTTATTCATCTGTCAACTGGAAGTTTGTAGCTTTTGACCACCCTGACTTATTCCTCACCCATCTCCTCTTTTCATTTTAAACTTCTGGACTGCTTGAATTATTGTAAGTTAATTTTTATAATAAATAAAATAAAGAATGTTGAAAGAGTTTAATATTTTTGAAAGGAAAAAAGAGAAGCAAACGATTATCAAAACTTTCTTGGTGGGGGGCACGTTCTAACTCAAGTTACAAAGAAAACAGATCGATGAGGAAGAATGCTTCTACTTTTTTATACAAAAAAATACACAAATAGAAAACAAATACAAGAAGGAACTATTATTACATCAAGACCTCAAATCAAAAGTTATTCTAGGGCCGGCCGAATAGCGCGATTGTTAAGAACTGGCTTGGGATGCCAGAGGGCCCCGGTTCGGATCCCACATATGAGGGCCAGTGACACTGCCCTCCACAGCTAAGATGCTGAACAACAGCTCAACCTGGAGCTGGGCTGCCGTGAGTCACCGGCGACGGCGTAGGCTGCAGCCCCTGTGGCAGTGGGTTGCCATGGGCTATCGTGTGTGGCCAGCAGCCAGCGTGAGCGGCCAGCAGCCAGCATGAGCGGCCAGCAGCCGTAGTGAGCGGCCGTCCAGAAGCCGGCGACTGATCTGCCTCGCCCAGGAAGAGCGCAATGATGGTGCCAACTTGGGCAAGTGAAGCAACGTCCTCCACAACTAGATTGAAGAACAAAACGACAGCAACTTGTCTGTTCCCCTTCCCCCAATTCCCCAGCACTGTTCCCATCCCCCCAATTCCCCAATAAAAATCTTAAAAAAAAAAAAAAAGCAATTTGATGATATATGTTAATATCAAGGACTTATAAATGCTGATGATCTGACTCAGGATTTACATATTTTTAAATCTATCCTAAAGGAACTCCTAAATACAAAGCCAAAACCATATACACAGATCACCCACGGCCAAGGGAGAAATGCATTTCACCAATGGAGACAGTTGGTTGCTACCACCTTAACCAGTTGATCAACCCAGGCTTCACTGACCCTAGGTTCTGCCTGATGAGATGCATTAGGAAATACACATCTCTACCTAGGAACCATTTTTGCCAAGAAAAATCTAACCTGAATCTAATAATCAAAGCTCTAGAATTAACTTCCAGTTTACACTGATATAAGGAAATAGAGAAAGTTTGAATGACACAATTAGAAAACAGACAAATCTAGAACATGAGACATTCTAATAGGCAACTAGGCTACTAAGTGTCCATTTCATGAAAAAAGTGGGGCACTGTTATAGAGTAAAGGATACTAAAAAGACATATTCAAATGCATAATTATAAAGGATTCTGCTTCACGGAGGTAAAAGTGTTAGGATGACTATAATAAAAAAGACAGATAATAACAAGTGTTGGCAAAGATGTAGAGAAATTGGAACCCTCATACACTGCTGGTGGGAATGTAAAATGGTGCAGCTGCTTTTGGAAAACAGTCTGGCAGTTCCTCAAATGATTACAAATAGAGTTACCACATGACCCAGCAATTCCACTCCTATGTATAACTCAAGAGAAATAAAAACTATGTCCACAGAACAACTTGTATACAAATGCTCACAGCAGCATTATTCAAAAATAACCAAAAACTGGAAACACTCAAATGTCCATCAACTGATGAATGGAATAAAATGTGGTCCATCCACACAATGGAGTATTTTTCAGCCATAACAAGGAATGAAGTATTGGCTACAACATGAATGAACCTTGAAAACATGATGCTCCGTGAAAGAGGCCAGATACAAAAGGCCACATGTTGTATGATTCCACTTATATGAAGTGTCCAGAAAGCGCAAATCCATAGAGACAGAAAGCAGGTGACTGGTTCTCATAGTTGGGGGAGAAGGGAATGGGAGTGACCACTAATAGGTATGGGTTTCTTTTTGGGGTGATGAAATATTCTGAAATTAGTGGTGATGGTTACATCACTCTGTGAATATACTAACATCATCGAATTGTATACTTTAAAAGGGCGAATTTATGGTATGTAAATTATCAATTTTAAAAGATTATATATCAATTTTTTAAAAAGGGAATGGCTTCATGTTTTTACTAGGCCAACAAATGTCCTTTTTCCAAGTTTGAAACCTGAAGTTACAAACATACAGCCCACAACATAATTACCTGAATAATTAATTACCTGAATAAGGAAGATGGTGTCAATAACCTGGAAGTGTCCAAGTTCATCAACGTAAGTCTCCAGATACAAGTCCGACAACAGCACCAACCGAACCAGAAACACGATGCTCACAATGGCCATGGTGGCAGCCGAGGCCGTCAACGTCAAGAGGTAGGTGAGGAAGTACCTGGCATTCCAGGCCCCGATGCAGTTGTTCACCCAAACACAGTGATGGTCAAAACGGTGCACACACCGGTTACACACAGCTGCACAGAAACGGGGGAGTCACCACCCTGGGTTGGTCCTTGATGAGACACTGACACCATGAAACACCTACTGACATTTTTACAAACTGACCGCGGGCAGTGTGAGCTGGGGGAAATGGCAGCTGCTGTCACCAAGGTTTTAGAACTGCAGTGTCCGATACAATAGCCACTAGCTTAGCCACATGTAGGTACTGAGCACTGAAATGTGGCTACAAGAAAAAATGGAAAGTATACTTTGTTTATATCGAGAAACTTAACAGTTGTTTTTCAATTTGTGCAATGCTCCTTTTTGAGGTCAATGTGAATAATACTGAGATGATACAACAGTTAGTAAATTTACTTAGACAAATAGTTTCAAAACTAATGCTTTTGCTTTAAAGTCAAATCAATTCTTCTGATACAGATGAACCATTATGTCAATGTAGGGGTGGATATTAAAGGAAAATGGGGCCGGCTGAGTGGCTCAGTTGGTTAAGAGCTCGCTCAAGAGTTTGAGCTCTGAGCAACAGCGGTTCGAGTCAGCCTGAGCTGAGCAGCCGCTGAGCTGCCAACAGGTGGCAGGATGGCTCAGCTAAAAAAAAAAAAAAAAAAAAAAAAAAAGGAAAATGATTTTGTGCTACTGCTTCAGTGACTGAAAAATGTTTAAGAATGTTTGGTATAGCATGGGTATGTGAATCTGCTCTTCCAACTGCAAATTTTATGAAAAATAAATACAGATCAAGTATTTCCAATGAAAAGTTAGTGTCTGGATTGAGATTTGCTGTAAATGTAAAATACACATCAGATTTCAAAGACACAGTATGAAAAAGAGAATGTAAACTAGCCTATGAATGATGGTTTTTAATATCGATTACATGTTAAAATAGTATTTTAGAGATGCTGGGTTGAATAAAATCTATGATTAAAATTAATTTCACCAATTTCTTCTCACTTCTGTGGCTAGGAGTAAGTGTAAAATCATATATGGGCCCATGCTGTGGTTTTGTCAGACAGCATTTATCTAGAGTCCTGGCAACTCCCCAGAAGAACAGGTGCTGCCAGGACTGGAACCTATAAGCACAATGTCCTGCACAAACATCTCTTGGGCAGCACGCCGTGTCACATGGCAGAGGACGAGCTATCATGCCCAGGACTGAGGGTTGCCCTTTGTACAAGAACCTAAGACCTCATCACCAGTCATCTGAAAGAAACGTCTCCCAGCAATGGCTGCCCCATGTTTGGGGGTCAAATGGCCCTGCTTTCTGACTTACCCAATATCCTCTCACAGGTGAAGCCCACATGTCTGTTGTGAGAGGGTGGGAGGGGGACATTTGGGGCCACACTTACCACAGTGCTTGGATCGCGCTGGTTTCCTTAAATCACAAGTGGGGCACCTCATGTTCTTTGGGAACATCACTTCATCGAATTCATAAACTTGAAGAAACAATAATTCGTTGGCTTTTGTTATGGTGCCTGAAAAGGGTAAGAACACACGTCAGTTTTGGGCATTCACAAAACCTGTCCTGACACAGTACAGCTAAAACTGCTATATTTAGTATTTTAAATAATTCATTATAGAATTTTTAACAGCTTTATTAAGTTACAATGCTTAAAAACAATTTACCCATTTAAAATGTACAAGTCACTGGTTTTTAGTGTATTCACCGAGTCGTGCCACCTTCAGCACAATCAATTTTAGAATATTTTCATCACCCTAAAAAGAAATCTCTTAGCAGTCACTCCCCATTTCTCTCTAATCCCCCAGCCCCTGGCAACCACCAATCAATATGTTCTGTCGCTATGGATTTGCCTTTTGTGGATGCTTTCTATAAATGAAATCCTACAATATGTGTTTTTTTGGCTCTGATTTCTTTCACTTAACACAATGTTTTCAAGGCTCTTCCATGTTGTAGCATGTGTCAGTACTTTATTCCTTCTTATTGCTGAATAATAGTCCATTGAATAGGTATACCACATTTTAGTTATCTATTCATCAGTGATGAACATTTAGTGCTTCAAGGAGAGGAAAGGTCAAAAGTAAAAGAATGGCAGGAAAAAACGAGCAAATGTTTATCCAAAGAAAGTACAATAATGTCAATATCAGACAAAAGAGACTGGAGACCAATGAGTATTATTAGTGACAAGAGGATCATTATATTTTGAAAAAAGATTCAAGGAAGAGATAATACTAATTCTAAACTTGAATAATAACAAACGTATAATGTATACACTCACATACACACATTAGTTTCAAAATGTGAAGCAAAAACTAATGCAAGGAGAAATCTTTCAAATCTACCATCACAATGAGATAAGATACCTCTCAGTAACCGACAGATCAAACAAACAAAAAAATTACTATGAATATAAAAGATTTGAACACTATTAACAAAGTTGATCTAATGCACTTGTACCATTCTCTGTACCCAAGAACATATTCTTTTCAAGTGCACATGCAAATATCAACATAATTTTCAAAAGAAATAGTATCCTATACACCATAACTGTTATATATAATTGTGTTATATATAATACAATTAACTAAAAGTATCAAAAAATTAAACTAAAAAATTTATATGAAAAAATTTAAACAGTTCTAAATAACTGATGAGTCAAAGAAGAGAAGAATAAAATTGGAAAACACAAAATTGGAAAGATCATGCAAACACGAAATCTCAAATCTTTTTGCAAAGTCCTTAGAGGGTCACTACTTATTTGCAGCACTGGCAGTAAGACTGACAGTTCAGCTGTCACCACTCTATACCAAGAGCCTCAACTTACCAGGGTCAGTTACACAACTTAGGGTGAAAAAAAAAAGGTTTATAACCAGCAGCAGATAGGGCAGAAAAAGGTAATACGAGGAGAACTCCAGCTCTTGACAGTAGCCAAATATTTCCCAGGTGTATTCAGTATAAACCATCCCTTGCAAGATGAGGTGCAGGATAATGAAGGTGTGGTTTCTGAAAGGAAACAGGCACATGGCTTGTTCATGGGGGCTTCTCCATGAAGAAATCATGCAATACTAAGGAAAGTTAGCCAACGGCCAACTACTTCCTTTCGTGCTTGAGATAATAGTAAGAAATACACGTGAAAACATTTCACATAGTGCCTAGCACATAGTAAGTACTCAATAAATGTTGTCTGTTATTAGCATCTGTTATTAGAGACGATAACTGAGATCTCAGTATCAGAACATATTGGTGGTAGTGAAAGTCATGACATATTTTTCTGTTTTCCAATGCAAAAATGCGTCATGACTTTCCCGACGACCCAATATTTCTTTTTACAGAAATGCATGTCAACATTTTCCTACTCTTTAAACACTTCTATTTAAAAGTAGACATGTCCAAGCCCCAGAGAGAAAAGGCAGATTATCTATGAGTAGAGGTTCTGAGCCCAGGACTTTTGATCCTTTGCAGCATCCTTTCCCGTACCATGCTGGAAACCACAAGGTGCTTCCTGAAGCTACAGGACAGCAACAATTAACAAGGAGATAATATTTAAACTCTAAAATATAAATACCTTGTATGAAAGAGGTAATGAAGCAATCCTAGCATGGATCTCTGAAGGCATTCTGGAATTATATAGGAAAATATCTGAAACAAAAGAAAAGAGAAAGGTTCAATTTCATTTCTCATTCCCCACTCCTGGCAAACAAATCAGATGCTTCATGTTCAGCTGGTAATGCTAGTAATATTAAGTTGTGATTCTGCATATGGGCAGAGAAAAAGTTTGAGAACAGAGAAGAGGGCTTTCCTCAGCTGACTTTCCTTTGCTGCCAACTCCATTTCTACCCAAAGAGGGTATCACATCAAGGTCTTCAGGTAAAGAGAGGTGGGCAGAAAGGGTGGGTTAAGGAATGCTACTGCAAGCGCCGCTCCTTTCCCTGCCTTGGGTTCAATCTTAAATTCCAAGGTCCACCTCCAAATCACTGGCCATTAGCCCAGGTCTCTCACAAGTCAACTCCTTCCCAAGGGCTGCCCATCCCAATTTTGCTCACTTTGACCGGATGGAGGGTGGGGAGCCCAAAGCTTAGCTTTTTGCTCCCATATCCCCCAGTTTCACCCATCAGGCCCCTCCAGACAGACACTGTTTACATCCATGCCCAATTATAGGCATCAAATCCAGAGAAAAATAGCTAACCTTGAGGATGCTATCTTCTCTCAAAGCAACATCAGAAGATTACTTTCAACAATAACAACAACAACAAAACCCGAGAGAGAAAGAGAAAGAGAGAGAGAGAGACTTTTGAATATACAACTGCCATAAATGAAACAAGTGAACAAATGAATAAAAATGGCATCTCTTTTTCGTGCTGTTAGGAGATTGGCAAGCCTTTTCAGACAAGTGGCATTCAAAATCCAGTGGTCTCCAAGCATCACTGTTACCTGTGCACCTCCGCTGACCAGGCCTTTCAGGTAATGGGTTTTGGAGCAGATGCAGATCATAACACCACCAATCAGCACCAAAGCCAGGTAGAACAAGAAGAGAACTAGAAAGTCCATCCTGGGGCTACAAAGGAACAGAAAGAGTGTGAGTATACTGTTCATTCCATGGCGCCCAGTCTCAGACATCAACTCCCTAAATGGCTCCCAAAACAGAATTCATCAGCCCATAAGCACACACTGCCTCTTCATTTGGACCTCCCAAAAAGTCCTGAGCTTTCTCTCTCCTCCAAAAGCTCCCTAATCAAACCAGTGTGGCCTGCTCTGGGGCATTTCTTATCTGTCAAGTCCAAAATAAAGTGGGGAATAATATGCAAAATGCATCCACCTTGCCTCCCCCCAGCAATAACTCATTTTTTCACCTCCTTAAATATAAATATTCAGACATTCATACAGAATGTGGCCAAAAGAATCTGTCAACAATGCTATTGGAACAGGCATGCCCTAGAGGCAATCAAGGGCCCAGGATCAGGCATTCTGCCCTATGAAGGGACATATTAATAGAGACCTGTATTAAGAAATTGGAGATGGTTACTTATGGCCTTAGCAAATGGTTCTGCACCAGTATTCAGGAGATAAGACAGAAGAAACAATGAGCAGCAATTCTCACGAGCTGATTCAGGGTCCCCGGCCTACATATTTCGCATGTTTGGATAATTTTTGGCCGGCAGTTCTGGCTTTCCTCCTCCCAACATTCACAGAGAATTCACACTACATCTCTCACGCAGTGGTATGCGCCGGGCACAACAGGTGACACCCAAAGTCGCAGGAGACATGGTTCCTCCAGGAGGCTGAATTTGGCTGCAAAGACAGATCACTTCAACACTCACAAAAGACCACACTCCCATAATAGGAGTCAAGAGCGGAACACATTGTGAAAAAGAATTTGTTAGTCGGGGGATGATGAGACCCCACAGGGTAAACGGAGTTAGTTACAAGACTTCGAGAATAAAAAGCTAATTAGGAAGAAATAAGCTGGTGTCGGTCCCAATTCCGGAGGTGCCCACGCTGGGGACAGGACAGAAGAGCCTCCGGAAGCTACTCTCTATGCTAGGGTCTCCGCGGGTGGGCTGGCCGGAGCTTTTCCCGGGAGCCGGAACCCAGGGTGGGGGGCGGAGTATCGAAGGCTCCGAGGGAACACTGGGGTGCCCGGACCCTGGGCGAGTGGAGGGGGCTGCGGCCACACACAAGTGGGGAGGGCGGGCCAGACAGGGAGACGGACACCCCTGGGCCAGCCTGAGTACCTGAAAGCCCAGCAGAGGCCGCCTTTACCTCCAGGAGCGACCAACCGCCAGCCCCACCGCGCCAGCGCCTTCAAGGGCGCGCCCCCAGACTTCCGGCGGACCCGTGACGCCTTCACGCGACGCTGGCAGCCGGGCCGACTTCCGGCGGAAGTTATGGTGGTCTTGGAGTAGTATGGCCTGCAGTTCCTCTTCTGCCCCGCTAAGCTTATTGTTCGTTTCGTATCTCGGCTCTTTCGGACTGTGGTAGAGTCTGACTAATGGAAGGTCGAACTTTAGAGAGAACTCTAACAAAAAAGACCCGTCCTGGGCCTGGTGCCGGCGAGGACGCCTGTGTTGTGAAGCGGACCGAACCTCCCAGCCGCCTGGGTAGAAGCCAGTCAGGGCCCAGCTCCCAGCCAAGCAGGGACCCCGGCGGCCTAGGGCGAACACACGTATAGAGGATCATACACTGTGTTTTTGTGGTGGACCATTTGCTTTGCTTTCTGCCAACCACCGTTGGGCTATGTCTGAACCCTCCAGTATCTTAGATCCTGCTGTTTCAGAACAGCTCTGAACATTCTGCCCTTTGGGACCCTCATTCATCCTCCTGACGTCCCGGCCTCGATCCTCGGCTGTTGACAGTGGGAGTGGAGGTGGCGGAGGGGGGGGGGTGCAGGAGACACGAAAAACAAAATTAGGCACCTCGAACAGCCAAGCACGGGTGAAGCAGGGAGTAGGTACTGAAGAGAAGACCCCCTGGACTAAGTAGGTCGGGGAAACCAGGGTCGTGCTCAGGGACACCTGGCATGAGATCACTGGTTCCATCCGGAGTAAGGAGCTCAATTCAGGCGGGACTCCAGAAATGGTGAGAGAGGAACCACGATACCCAGGATCACAGAAATTTCAGGCAACTCCAGGGTAAGATAGCAAATCTAAGGAATATCTTGTTTCTGTTATAAATGTGTATTTTATTACTGTTCTTCGTCCTCCTCCGCTTTTCATTGTCGTATCCTCTTGGAATCCATCCTGGCCTCCACCAGTTCTGGTTGACTGTCAAGTAACTTCCTTCTCTCCTTCCTCTTCCTGCGCTTGCACGGACTGGTTCTTACGTTTTCTCAGTCCATTTCCCTCCTCTTTGATGTGACGTTGTCGTCTTCCCTTACCCCGAAGATGTTTTGTGTCTGGGGCCACTTCAATTTATGATCTAGGAAACGCTGGGCCACCTTTTTACTGTGAAGAAACGTCTTAGCTGACTGCGCTCAAACATTTGCCCTCTTATTCCTTTCAGACACCCTCTCAAATCGAGGCTACCCTGGCTAGACTTCCACTGCTACTTTTCCCACATGGTCTAGCAGTTAGAATTCTTGGTTTTCACCAGAACACCTGGGTCAGGCAGACCCATACCTGATCTGCCAGTGTTCCTGTCAGGCCTGTGCCTTATATCACAGAGGCCGACCATACCACCAGCTTGCCCGCTGGAGCCAGGATTTAGCTGAGAAATTCTCTAACTTTACTTGGGCAAAAAATTGTGGGATCTGTGTTCCTTTCAACTATCATTCCAATCCCTCAGGGAATTGGAAACTGATCTGCGATCAGAGATCTAGGGTGTGGGCAACCAGACCTTGATCCTGGAGGGCTCCCCATTGGAGTATATTCTACAGAATTGAAAATCATTTGAGTACAATCCATTAATAAAAAAGCAACTAATCTTTTTCTGTAATATAGCCTGGCCCCAATATAAATTGGAGAATGGAGAAAGTTGGCCAGTTAACAGCTCCCACAATTACAATACTATACTCCAATTAGATTTATTTCGACAAAGACTAAATGGGACTAAATTCCATGTGTCCAGTTTTTCATGGCCCTCTACCAGAACAAGGGCCCACAGAAAAAAATGGAGTCTAGAGGCCAAAGGGCCTACTTTAACAGAACCAAAGGCCTTGCTCTCAGTTCAAGAATCTATTGAAGACCCCCTAATCTAGCTCCCTCCTCCAAAGCTGACAGCCACCCCCCCACCCCACCCCTACGAATTGCCAGTATCCAACCCTGACCCATCCCAGTTCCACCCACTCCCCCATCTCTTTCCCCCCACCTTGTCCCAACGCCTCCCTAGTTCCCCCTCCTCGGTGTTGGCCCGGCCAGATTTGAGCAGGCCCTTCCACTTTATGCACATGAGAGTAAGGGAATAGCCCTAGGAGTCCTAACCCAAAGGCTTGGTCCCCTCACTAGGGTAGTAGCATATTTCTCTAAACAACTAGACTCTGTAACTGAGGGGTGGCCTTCTTGCCTTAGGTCAGTAGCAGCTATTGCTCTCCTCCTTAAAGAGACAGAAATATTAACTTTTGGACAACCCCTAACTATCTGGACCCCTCACCCCCCCCCCCAATCACACTCAGTCTCACATAAAAGAAAGGGGGGTGGAATGGCTATCTCCAGGGAGAACGCTTCAGTTACAAGTTATGCTTCTCAGCAACCTAAACGTTACCCTCAAGGTCTGCAGTACTCTGCATCCTGCCATCCTCTTTCCTATAGAATAAGGCAGCATAACCAGTAACTGCCTAAAGGTATTAGAGGAAATATACTCCAGTAGGCCAGACCTCAAAAGCGAGCCTTTTGATAATGCAGAATTTACCTGATTTACAGATGGGAACAGTTTCATACAGGAGGGAGGAAGAAAGGCAGGATATGCTATAGTCTCCTCTGTGAGACCATCAAGGCCAGAGTGCTACCACTAGGAAGTTCCGCCCAAAGAGCTGAACTAATTGCTTTAGCCAGAGCCCTAGAACTGGGAAAAGATAAAATCTTCAATATACTGATTCTAAATACATTTACTCCATTGTACATGCGGCTGTATGGAAAGAAAGAGGTATATTAATCTCTGGAAATAAAGAGATTAAAACAGCACTGAAACCCTTCGCTTCTTAGAAGCTGTCAAAATGCCGAGACAGGTAGCTGTGATGCACTGCTGAGGACACCAAAGGGGAGATGCTGAGATCATGCGACGAAACCATGGGGCAGATTTAGCGGCCTGGCAAGCAGCCACCAAGGGAACCACTCTCCAGTTATCATTATTGCCATCACCTCTGGATCCCAGCTCATATACACTCCCATCTACTCCCCAAAGGAACAAGTGGTGCTATACTAGGAGCTCTGATCACCCAGGATGGCCAACAAGTCCCCATGGGCAGTTTCTTTTCCCCAGAGCTGTAGCTCAACAAGCTATTATTAGGGAAGCACACTCGCTTTGGCCAGGAAGCACTCTGCAACTGGCTATGCAAAACAATGGTAACTCCCAATTTCTGAGACGCAAAGGGGAAATGTAAAGTCCATAAGAATTAAAGTATGGCAGACCTATCCCATCTGGGCCTCTTGTCAAGAAAACCTCCGTGACCTAGACAAGCTAAAATTTGCCACCCACATTGGGGAAGTAGCCAAAGCCCTCAAGACCTTTGGAAACTAAGAAGTACCTTCGCCCTCCGATCTACTCATATCTCTTCCAGTCTGGAGATTGGATTTATCTAAAAACCTGGAGGGGAACCAGGCCCCCAAACCAGCTGGAGCCCAAATGGAAGGGGCCTTATTTGGTAATTCTAACTACGAACTCTGCCCTTCAGGTACAGGGACTAATGCCTTGGAGCCATCACACCAGTAAAACATGCGACTGGCCCAGAACCGGCCTGTGAGCTCTGTCAGACCTCAAGCCACTGTCCCACAGGAACGCCAACCAAGATAAATAATACCCTCGTGTCTCACAAGCGGGCTCCAATCCTGAGACGCTGATACTTTTTTGTGCTGGATCTGAAAGGGAGAGTCACATAGATTGCTATCATACAGTTACCTGCCGAGACACACATGGGGTTCATAGGGCTCCTCCTCATTTCCTCTCATCTGTCACCCAGTCTCAATTTTGCTCTCCTACCTTGGGAGGGCACCAGTTTGGTTAACATCCCCCAAATAGTGGGCACAGAGAGAAACCTGAAACATTGTTAGGTATGCCATCAATATCCCCAAACATCCCCTTCTCAACCAGTAGCTTGACTGGTGGATCCATTTCACCTTGCTGCTCTCAATCTGATCTCTGTGCCATAGGCTCCACTTCGCCCACCCATAACTGTCCATTTGGACCAAGACCTTTCCTTGATGTGGATGTGTGTAAACGTTACAGGCCAGGGATCTGCGCTAGCCTTTCCCTAAACTGCCCAAATAACGGCCACCCGTGTACCCCTTGCAAAGTATCCACAAGCAGTGGACCTCAGCCACCACCAAACTGGGTACGCCCATGGCTGGAACAATCTCCTGTAGCCCTCAGACGATTGTCCACTCCGTGTCCTTTTAACGACACTCATTGGTGTCTGCAGGGGTCAAGAAATGGACGCTCCCTATGGGCTGGTCGGGTGCTACCTTCTTGACCCTTACCAGGGAGCGGAAATCTACATCCCTTTTCAACCACAAAAACAATGTTCTTTAGACAAGATTGGCTAATTCTTCTCAGTGGCAGGTTGGGGGTTTGTCTGCCAAAACCAGACAAACTCGCCTCTCTGGGCCAAGCAGATCCTAGCCTTAAACAAGTGGGGAAAGCCACCCAGAAGAATACGTGCCCCACCTGGGTATGTTTTCTTATGTGGCTAGCCCGAGCCTGCCCCTGCCTGGAAAATACCTGGCACCAGGGAGAATGCACCCTCAGTCACTTAATCCCCCATGAGGTCACAGTCTATAATCAATCTGTAACCAATCCAAGACAAAAAAGAGCGATTGGACTTACCTTGGCAGGAATGGGAGCAACCATAGGGTCCCTGACCCCACGGGGAGGGCTCACGTATCATGAGGTTGTCACCTTCAGTCTCACCAACATTATAGAAGCCATAGCTTGGCAGACCGCAGACACCCTAAGTGGCCTGCGGGTCTCCCTAGAACACTGGCTAATGTAGCACTTGATAACAGGTGAGCCCTAGGTTATATATTGGCTGAACAAGGAGGAGTATGCACAGTTATCAGTTCCTCCTGCTGTACATGGATAAGCACTATTGGCCAAGTAGAAGTTGGTATCTGTGAAACATCTAATCAAAAACCAAATGGGAAAACCTGTACCAACTCCAAAGATTTCTGGGATGCTGTAAAAAATGTTTCGCCTAACCTCACTTGATTCTTTCCTCTCTTAGGACCTCTTGATGCTATCCTTCTACTACTCATCCTTGGGGCCCTGCCTCCTAAACTGCCTACTTTCTTTTGTCTTTAAAAGACTTGAATCAATCAAGCTCTAAACGGTAGTCACACAGGGATACGAACAGCTGGGAGTAAAGCCAGGGGACAATCAGACCTATTTTAAGGTTAGCACAGGAAAAATTTCACTCCTCTAATGGGACCTCCGACGGGCACCCAAATTCAGCTGATAGAAGTTGCAGAAGGTAGACCTTCATCCCTCAGCACCCCTCACAATGAGGAATGGAAATAAGAAAGGGGGATTTGTTACCCCACAAATGGGCCTGTGTCATCTAGCAAAGCTCCTGCCCTTGGGTAAGCTCCTACCCCACCCCAACTATATTTATCTTTGGGAACCGTTAATAGTTCCTTCTCAAGAAAGGACGTTAAAACCAGCTAAGACTAAGATGGCCACCAAAGTGACCTCCAAAAGACCTCAAGCTTCATTATAATCTAATCTCCATACTAAATGACACACCTGCCAGCGCCATAACAGTTGACAATCACCGTGACAATGCCTGGAAGAAACCATAAAAGGACAGAATAAAAGGTGGAACTCTAATTCCAAGAAGGTTACTGCCTCCTTCCCCCCCCCACCTCCGGGAAAAACCACGAAGGTTCCTCCCCTCATCTGCCTAGATCCAGCCCCACCCAGTATGGACAGCTCCTTGATCCAGAGCCACAGGAAGCAGACCTGAGAGCTAGGCTCCCCCTTCTCCATTCTCTGGCCATTGAATAAAGCTTGCTCTGTTAATGCTCACTTTCAGTCTCATAATTGGCTTCATGACACCCTTTGGGAAAAGAACCCAGCTTGGAGTCCTCAAAAAGGGGACTTTTGCCCCCTATCTAACAGGAGCAGTGACAATTGCTTGATGATAAACCGGGAGGATAAGAAGGAAAGCTGTTTAATGATAGTTGAACCTGGGGTGAAAAGAGCTGCTTCCAAACATAGCACTGAGAAGTCAGTCCCCTGTGGGGTGTTCCTTTGCTCTGAATGCCTCTGAATCCACTGAGACCAGTCTATTCTTGGTACCTCAGCAAACCTGTCTAACTGAGCCAGGCCAGTCCTCCCTTTGAGGGGAAATGTCTGATCTCCAAACACTGGCCTTAAATTCTTCTCTCTTCCTGTCTGTGCTGCCTACCCCAAAAGGAAAAGCTTTTTTCTTTTTTAAAAACTGGACACCTTCTGATACATTGTATGCAAAGCCTTTATGAACTTGTGGACCCAGAACTGAAAAAAACAAACAAACCCAGAAGATGTGATGTCACCAGGGAAGACTGTGGTTACGGATGGAGCCTCATCACATCCAGAGTGTGCTGAAGTCGTCAGCGTCTCCAGCCAATTCATCACCCGGCTGGTTCATTCTGAGCTGGTGGTTTAGTGTTTTGAGTTAGCTGCTTTTGCTCATAAATGCAGAACTTTATTTTTATCCCCATTTATTTTTTTCTGAATGGTTTCAGTGGAGACTAACTGAATCTTGGTTTGATCACCTATGTTATATTGTACTGGGTCGGTTGCCTTTCATTTTTTTAAATTTATGAAAGTAATACAATATTATGTTCTCCTTGTAAAAGAGTTAAGCTATACAAAACAAAAATCTCCTTGATCACTGCCTCTCCCAAATCACAGTCCCTTGACAGAATTAATCACTTATTTAATGTGTATCCGCTAAAACTCTTACATAATTATACATATATATTTATTCAACATATATGTATTAAGTACCCAATATATGCCAGGCACTATTCTAGACACTAGGAACATAGCAATAAAACAGAAAAATCCCTGAGCTTTATAGTTTACTTTCTAGTGTGTATGTACAAATATATAACTTGTTTACAGAAATGGCATTTTATACATGAGCTCCTGTCTGCCGGTAACCTCCACGGGGGGCTGTGGGGATGTAGGCAGGGCACCTATAATGTCTGCTGTGCAGTTACAACAGAGAGACCCCAAAACACAATGGCTTTAATGGGAAAGAGCTTATTTCTTCCACATGAAATAGTCCAGAGATAGGTGGACAGTCCAAGAGTGGCAGTCAGTTCTGCTCCAGGAGAGCCACTAGCTCACACAAGCACCCAGATTCTTCCTGACTTGTTACTCCACCACTAGGCAGAGCTTCCCAAACTTTCTGTTCACAGTGCCCTTAAGTGACTTAGAAATTTTTTCACAGAGCTCCGAGGCAAAAAGAAATATCTAACAATCCCATCAATTAAATAATTAGCTGTGTACAAGTATTAGCCTAAGTATTTATGTCCTAACAGTGTAGTGTCCTCGTACACTGCACAATTTATCAAACTTTAAAATCACATTGGAAACCACCATTCTCGTTTCCTGCTCCACATAAATATTCCAGAGGCACTTGCTTTCTCGGTCTATTTTCACAAAGGTGTAGTAGCATCAGGAATTTAGCAATCTAATGTTGAGAGCGTGAACTAGCTCAAGCCAGCATTTCACGTACAGCTCGGATGTTGCTTTGTGTCCTCAAATTTTAAGACATCCACAACACCCCTATGAGTTCGCTGTGGCACCCCAGGGCACTTTGTGCAGTTTGTAGCCACAGAACTAGGATGTTGTCCTTATCCCAAGGTCACCACCTTCCAGCGCCTGACAACTGACCAAGGAGGAAATGAAAGTTGTTTTCTTTTAAGAATGGAACTTGAAAATTGCAGTTAGCTTTTCCTGCTCAGATCCCATTGACCAGACCTTATCACATGACCCACCTGGCTACAGGGGCCCTGGGAATTGTAGTATCTGGCTGTGCTACCATGTATTCAGCTAACACTTGGAAAGTTGTTACTACTAAAAGGAAGAAATGAAAATTATTCTCTCATATTCTAAATATTAATCCTTTGTCACTGCTATGAAAGCCATGTATTTTTCTCTTACACGTTGTTACACATCTGTTAATAGTGTCTGTCAACAGAGGTTTTAAATTCTGCAGTACTCACATTTATCAGCTTTTTCTTGTTCTCGTATCTTATTTAACAAGGTTTTCTTTATCCCAACATTACACACACCAAAAAAATATACATACACACAAATATTTTCTCCAATGTTTTCTTCTAGGTGGTTTATACTTTTATCTCTAATGCATCCGGAATGTCTTCCCATGATGGCTGAGATGATTTCAGAAGGGAAAGGAGTCATTGAAAGTGAGTAGCCAAGGCACTGTGTATCTATTAAATTCTCACCGCCTTCCCACTCACATTCCGGCTTTCCTTGACAGCCTCCTACACATGCACAGTGCAGTGGCACTGAGGTTCCCTACCCAACATGGAAGCCACACACGCTCTAACATGCTCTTTGTGTAGGACTGAACTACCCCCAGACCTAGGGGTGAGTGTTAATTGGTCTCAGCCAATCAGGATAATCCTATCCTTATCACAATAATTTTTCAAAACAAAAGCCAACCTCTGAAATTCAGGGCCGGTGTCTGGAACATGGGTGAACCAATTAGAATGAAACTAGGATTCCTGTTCATTCAGTATAGGTGTCGTCTCTCCCCTCTATTGAATAACGATATTAAAGAGGAAGCCTGTAGCTTTACTTCCCTTATCTTGGGGCTGCGAGGAGAGCCAGCCTGAGGATGACAGACCCAGGAAAGGCCCAGAAAAGCGAAAGCCCTGAGCAAACGGTGCCTGAAGCTGATCCACCTCTGGACTTCATAGTTAGATGAGCCAAAAGTCCCCTTTATTGTTTTAAACCATTTGAGTTACATTTTCTGTAACTTGCAGTTAAAAACATCCTAATCTTGGGCCGGCCGAGTGGCGCGATGGTTAAGAGCTGGCTTGGGATGCCAGAGGGCCCCGGTTCGGATCCCACATGTGAGGGCCAGTGACACTGCC